CCCTAACAGTAACCCTTCTTCTTTCCAATCTCACTACTGGAGCAATGCTCAGATGTTCTTGGCTAAGTTGCTGTCCTAGTCTCCCTGAATACTTCCTTTTCCTTTTTTCTGTCAGTGCACACTGTATTCCCCTAGCACTCTTTTGGACAAATATCTCAAAACGCATTTCAAGCACAACACTAATATCTATTCTCTTTTGTAAATTCTCTTCTGTCTTCCTGGTCAATTAACGGTCATAGTCGGTCTTCACTTTTGCTTCCTGCTTCTGACCAAGCCTTTTCCTTTAAGATACTAGATCTGACCTTCACCTTCTGTCTTTGCTTCATCCATGCAGGTTCTGTCGTCTTCTAACATTTTGGGTGACGTGTTGGCTTGGCCTTGGCCCTAGTCTTTCAACAAGCAGAATAGCAACTGCATTTTCATATTTTTCTGAACCTTGTCACTTTCATTCCACCTCTTTCCTCTGGCTGGAAGTTTCCTTTATTTCTGTTTGCTTTGAAAGTCCTTTTGGATCTAGGGCTGGTAAAACACAGTCAGATGGGAAAATGATGTTTTCTTCCTAGGATGCAAATCAGTTTGGTTTTGCTCTGCTTTTCCCCTTCTCCCTGACCTTCACCGCTGCAGAGACACAGATGGCAGAAGGCAAGAAAAACTCTCTGCAAGCTGCCTTGCAGGAAGAGGCTACTGCTCTAAAGAAGGAGGTTATGACCCTACATCAAGAGGTGACATCTTTGGAAAGGAGACTTGAGAGCACTGAGAAGCAAAGAAAGGATGTCCTGGTGAGGCTAGCAGATGCCATGAAGGGGAATGTCTTGCATATTTTATGGGCCTTCTGTTGATGTACTAAGGAACAGCTTTTCTAGTATTGGGTGGTCCTGTGCAGGCTTGGTCCAGTTCTGAGAAGCTTGAAAATCAGAAGATAGTTAAGAACTTTGTGTAACAAGGTACAGAGTATGCCAATGCTGACCAAGTTTGCCTCATTTGCCCCTTTCATCCACCCATCATTTCTTGTTTCCCAGACTTTTGTTTTCCTGCCAGGCCATGCAGTTGCATTAACAGAGCCATCACCTTGAGTAAGAGAAGTCAGTCCAGAAAGGAGAGACCGTTAAAATGAACAGTAGCAAAAAATATCTGGAGAGACCACAGACCGCTACAAGGGCAGAAGAACAGTATCTATACCCATGATTGTTTTTTAATCTAACTTTCCTAATAGCATTCTTCTGAATAAGTAGGAAAGCATGCTGGAGTCATGCAAAATTCAGTTATGATTCATGCTGTTTTTTTTTTTTTTTTTACCTCAATCCTGAAGATTTCTGCCCTTTAAACATTAGTCAAAATAACTTTCAAATGTTGTCTCTATTTACATTGCATAGTTTGTCCCTTTTTTGGTTGTGACCAAATAATATATATTTATATTCCTAAGTGATCTGGAAAATGGGGTGAGGAAAGAAATTTTGCAACTAATAGAAAGTTATTCAGTGTTTCAAGGCTGAGGGCAGACTGTGGGAGAAATGTGAGAAACAAAGCAGATGATGTAGATAAATACCTATGCCTGCAAGGGAAAAAAAAAATCCTCATTTTGAACAAAAATGACAGGCTGTGATCTGACTGTTACCTCTCAAGAGGGGAGGCAGTGAAGTTCTGGTGGATGATACCATGAAAATACTATACAGTAGAAGCCAAAAAAAAAAAAAAGAAAGAAATCAACTGTTATATTGTTCTCTCTTCCCTTCCTTGTAAAGAGAACATCATCATGCTACTTCCTGTATCATAATCAGTCTGGACCTTAATCCTGGGTGCAGTTCTGGCACTTCCTCAGAAAAGACCCAATAGAGCTGGAAGAGGCTCAGAGAGAGGCATCAAGGAAGAGAGGAGTAGCTTAGTAGGCTGGGATTCTTCAGCTGGAGAAAGAAATGACCTGTAGGGTGGCACAGGAAAGGTCTATGACATCCTGAGTGGCAAGGAGAGGGCAGGCAGGCATCGTTCACTGTATTTTGTGGAAGAACAAGGGCCATCAAATGAAGCTAGTGACAGATAGGCTGCAAGCAAATGAGAGGAGGTGGGTTTTTTTACAGCATAACCGACCTGTTGAACACCTTGCAAAAGGATATTATAAATGCAGAAAAGTTCATGTGTGTTCAGAAAGAGACTGTGAAAGTTCTCACAGGCTGGATTAGTGTTGAGGTTGCAGAGGAGAAGTATCATAAAAGTCTGCCCTATTCTGGCTCTTTCTGGGAGATAGGCTTATAGCCACCATTATATGCAGGATACTAGGCAGGATGGATCCTTGGTTTGAGCGGGCGCAGCTGTTCTTATATGATTAAAAGTTTTCTACATTTGCAATGACTCCAGAATCAGTAAAGGCCAGAATTTGCTAAATATAGTACAGTTCTCAACTCGCTCTTTGAATGAAAGTAGAAAATTTAAATGTAACGGGGAAACTAACTGAATAGCTAGATTTTTTTTCCTATTAAAAGCTCAAATTTCAGCCTTTAACTGCCACGTCATCCAGCCACCAAAGCAGGAGATCAAATATAGTAAGAAAAACAAACATATATGAATTATTGAATCTTCTCCCATTTTGTTGCAGCATGAGAGGGACACACTGCAAACAGTTAAGGAAGAAATGGTATGGGAGATAAAACTTCTCCAGGAATCAGTCACAGCCTCTGAAACTCGAGCAAATGCAGCAACAAATATCAAGCACTCCCTTGAACAAGAACTTCAAACTACATTATCCGTCTTGAAAATTAAAAATGAGGAAGTGGCAGCTCAACAGGAGAAAATCCAGATGCTACAGAAAGAGGTAGCAGAGGTGAAAGCTTTGCAGGAAAAACTGTCTCACATGACTGCCATGGTATCGAAGAGAGAGGGAGAAATTAAGTTGCGTGAGGAACAGATTAGAATGCTGGAAAACCAGAACAAAATGCATCAAAGCACTCTAGAACATGTTATTAAAGACAAAGCAGAGAAAAACCAGAAGATAGAATCCCAACAGGAACAGATATGGGAGCTGGAGAAGCAGCAAGAAATGCAGACAGTTAGTATAAGCAAGATGAGGAAGGACCTGGAGGAGAGAGATCAGGAGATCAGAGCCCAACAAGAACAGATACGAGAGCTAGAGAAGCAGCGTGAAAGGCAGAGTTTTACTGTCGGAAACATGAGGAAAGACCTGGAAGAAAGAGACCAGGAGATCAAATCCCAGCAAAAAGAGATACGGGAGCTAGAGAAGCAGCATGAAATGCAGACAGTTACTGTAAGCAAGCTCAGCAAAGACCTGGGGGAGAAAGACCAGCAGATCAGAATCCAGCAAGAACAGATAAGTGAGCTGGAGACGCAGCGTGAAAGGCAGAGTATTGCTGTAGGAAAGATGAGGAAGGACCTGGAAGAGAGAGACCAGGAGATCAGATCCCAGCAAGAACAGATACGGGAGCTGGAGACAGAGCGGGAAAGGCAGAGTATTGCTGTAGGAAAGATGAGGAAGGACCTGGAAGAGAGAGAGCAAGAGATCAGAACCCAGCAAGAACAGATATGGGAGCTGGAGAAGCAGTGGGAAAGGCAAAGAAGTTCTGTAATCAATACCAGGAAGGACCTGGAAGAGAGAGACCAAGAGATCAGAACCCAGCAAGAACAGATATGGGAGCTGGAAAAGCAGCGAGAAATACAGAGCAGTGGTCTAAGCAAGCTCAGCAAAGACCTGGAAGAGAGAGACCAAGAGATCAGAACTCAGCAAGAACAGATACGGAAGCTGGAGACGCAGCGAGAAATACAGAGTTTTACTATAGGAAAGATGAGGAAGGACCTGGAAGGAAGAGACCAGGAGATCAAATCCCAGCAAGAACAGATACGGGAGTTACAGAAGCAGCAGGAAATGCAGACGGTTACTGTAAGCAAGCTCAGCAAAGACCTGGGGGAGAGAGACGAGCAGATCAGAACCCAGCAAGAACGTATATGTGAGCTGGAGACACAGGGAGAAATACAGAGTATTGCTGTTGAAAAGATGAGAAAGGACCTGGAAGAGAGAGACCAAGAGATCAGATCCCAGCAAGAACAGATACGGGAGCTGGAGGAGCAGCAAGAAATGCAGAGGAGTTCTGTAATCAATACCAGGAAGGACTTGGAGGAGAGAGACCAAGAGATCAGATCCCAGCAAGAACAGATACAGGAGCTGGAGGAGCAGCAAGAAATGCAGAGGAGTGGTCTAAGCAAGCTCAGCAAAGACCTGGAGGAGAGAGATCAGGAGATCAGAGCCCAACAAGAACAGATACGAGAGCTAGAGAAGCAGCGTGAAAGGCAGAGTTTTACTGTCGGAAACATGAGGAAAGACCTGGAAGAAAGAGACCAGGAGATCAAATCCCAGCAAAAAGAGATACGGGAGCTAGAGAAGCAGCATGAAATGCAGACAGTTACTGTAAGCAAGCTCAGCAAAGACCTGGGGGAGAAAGACCAGCAGATCAGAATCCAGCAAGAACAGATAAGTGAGCTGGAGACGCAGCGTGAAAGGCAAAGGAGTTCTCTTAGCAATACCAGGAAGGACCTGGAAGAGAGAGACCAAGAGATCAGAACCCAGCAAGAACAGATACGGGAGCTGGAGGAGCAGCAAGAAATACAGAGGAGTACTCTAAGCAAGCTCAGTAAAGACCTGGAAGAAAGGAACCAGGAGATCAGAACCCAGCAAGAACAGATACGGGAGCTGGAGGAGCAGCAAGAAATACAGAGGAGTACTCTAAGCAAGCTCAGTAAAGACCTGGAAGAAAGGAACCAGGAGATCAGAACCCAGCAAGAACAGATACGGGAGCTGGAGGAGCAGCAAGAAATACAGAGGAGTACTCTAAGCAAGCTCAGTAAAGACCTGGAAGAAAGGAACCAGGAGATCAGAACCCAGCAAGAACAGATACAGGAGCTGGAGGAGCAGTGTGAAATGCAGAGGAGTTCTCTAAGCAATACTAGGAAGGCCCTGGAGGAGAGAGACCAGGAGATCAAATTCCAGGAGAGGAAAATAATGGCTCTAGAAGAACATGGTACATCACAAGTAAGAAGTGTGCTAGAGGAGCTAGATCATGTGAAAGCAAACTTGAAGGAGAAAACCTTAGAGCTCATGTCTCAGGCTCAGCAGACCCATGAACTGGAAATGGAGAGAGAACAGGTGAAATCTCTTCACGCAGACCTTGAACACCTGCGGGCAGTTCTTAGGAAAAGGGATGGCGAGGCTGAGTCTCAAAGGGATCGGTTAAGGTTCTTTCAGCAGTACAAGGAGCAGCAGGATGGGTACCTGCAAGAGCTGCATGGTAAATTAGAAAAGATGACACTTTCTTTATCTGAAAGAGATCAAGAGCTTGAGTCACAGCAAAAGCAAATCCAGGAATCTGAAGAAGCCATGGAAAAGAAGTTAAAGACTGTCCATGACCAACTGGAGCAGACATTAGAAGCTTTAAAAGAGAAGGACAGACACCTAGACATTCAAATGCAAAAAACAAGGAAATATGAGGAAGAAACAGAAAAACAGATGAAAGTTTTACATAGAGACTTGGAACACACTAAGGCAATATTGAGAGAAAGAGAATTTGTGATTGAATCTCAGAAGGAACTGGTCAAGATCTTCCAAAAACAAGAATCTGAACAGCAGAAGGAAATTCTGGAACATCTCAAAGTGGCAGTAAAGGAACAAGAACAAGAAATTATTTCCCTTAAAAAGCAATGTGAGGTGTACAAGCAAAAGGAAGAAAAGCACAAAGCTGAGCAAGCAAATCTTCAAGAAACAAAAGTAATTCTGAAAGAGAGAGAAAAAAAGATAGAGTTGCTGGAGGAGGCTGTCTCTAAGCTCCAACAGCAAAAAGAAGAGACAATGATGCAGACTAAAGCTTTGCTACATAAACCAGAATATGCTGCATCTTCTGTAGAAGCTAGAGAGCAGGATACAGTGTCTTTGCAAAAGCATGTCCAGGAGCTTCTAGAGCAGAAGGAATTAGAAGGCAAGCAGGCCGAGGGCCTACAACAGGATGTAAATAAAAGGAGCCAGACACTGAAGAGCAACAGTTTGGAGTTCCTCAAGCAGGCAGAGCAAATTAATATGTACCAGCTTCATGAAGAAAGTATGAAAGTAGCACTAACATCTTGCCAGAAGCAAGTGAGTCTGCTTGAGGAAATGGTGAAGAAGAGAGATGAAGACAATGAAATTCTTATGCAAAAACTTCAGCACCAAGAAGAAGACCTGAAGACCTTGCAGAATCTCCAGTTTATGTTGGCTGAAAAGGAAGAAGAGAATAGATATCACAGAGAGCACGAGAAGGTCTTGGAAGAAGTCTTGCATGAGAGGGAACGAAAGACTAAGGCTCAAGATGAGCAAAAACAGTTGGAGGAGATGAGAGGTCTTCAAGAAGATCTCCAGCATGTTCAGCAGACTCTGGCCAAGAAGGACGAAGAGATCAAATACCAGAGAGAGAGAGTTAGGTATTTAGAGAAGACTCTGACAGGGAGAGAACAAGAACTTTGGAGGCAGAGTGAATTCCTGAAACAATTAACATCAGCTTTGCGATGGAAAGATGAAGGGGAGACTCTAAAGAAAAAAATTCAGAAACTCCAAAAATGGGAGGAAGAGGAAGCAGAAAAGAAGAAACTTATCCAGGAGAGAGACCATTTCCTGAAAAGGCAGAATGAGCTAGCCCAACAACTGGAAGATGAGAGGAAAGTAAAGGGGGAGGAATTGGAGCGTGTGATTGCTATTTTGAAGCAGACCGAAAGTGGAGAAATAGAATGGAAAGAGAAGGCACAAGCACTGACTCTTGCCCTTACCAAGAGTGAAATGGCCAATGAGTCTTTGAGGGAAGAAATAGCCATCCTACAGCGTATGGTTTCAGAGAGGGACAAGGACCGATTTCATCTTCAGGTAGGCGGTGCGACTGATCATCAGTCAACTAAGATGTCTGTAAAAGATTCTAATGATATTTCCCATGAATATTATAGTTGCTTGGCCAAAGAAACTCTGATCGCAGTTGTCCGGCTTATAGCACAGGCTAGAGACCATCCATATGCTAGGATTTTTCTGTCAAGCCTAGAACTATTGGTAGAACCAGACCGCATAATTAAGAGGCGACAATGCAGATTTGTATGCCAAGATTATAAAGATGTATCATTCTGTCTCTTGACAGATCCTTCAAGGCAGAGCTTGCTGTTAAAATTAAATCAAGTCCAAAACTGAGGGATGGATAATTGATTCTCTCCTGTCTAGGCAAGTTTAGCCAACACAGCATGGTTAGGCTCTGGCAGGGAAAGGAGAGGGCATGGTTGACCAAACTGATGTTGTAAACTTAGTAGAATTTTATGAAGGTGGCTGAACAGCAGCTGTTCTGGTGGTGCTTACGGTGTGCTTTCAAAGCTGGATTTGCTCCTTCTGATTACAAGCATTCTATTGCTTGTCATTAAGCAAGAATAATAACCATAATTTGGTTATTAGTTGTGGGATTATGTAAGGCTATCACAGGATCTCTGGTTACAATTCCTGGGAAGATGCATTTGAACAGGAACAGGCACTTCTGCATGAAGTGAGGGTTTCTTTAACTCACGTTGGCCTGATAGATTTTTGAGGTACAAATTTTCTGAAATGTTAAAAGAAAAAAAAAAGGAATTTACACCATTGCCTGATGTACTTAAAGATTTCTTTGCACTTTCAGGATATACTTGTGCTGTAGTTCAAAAAAGAGTGAAGGATAGCTTGTGTGGGTTTCTTCAAGGTGTCTTCGAATTGTCTGGCTCTGGTACTGCCAGTGGCACCAGCTGCAACAGCCTGGGCTACAAACTTGCCTGGGACTTTGCCTATACTTTTAGTGTAATATTAGTATAGTATTTTATTAGTAGTATTTTATATGTGCCTGTATGTTTATACATTATGTGTGGCCTGTTACCACTGGTCTGATTAGGATGATGACAGGTTGTGATGTGATGTGTTGTTGAGAAGCAGAGAGGCTACAAGGGCAGGAAACTTGAAAAAATGGGAGATTTCAATTGCATCTGCATTCATTTGCAGATTGGATAATGCTGGGGCATAATGTCAAGACCAAATTTGTAGATGCTTTCAGAGGTTGCTTCGTGGAGCAGTTCATCAAGAAACCCACAAAAGGGGAGGCAGTTTTGGGCTAGCTGCAGTGCACAGGGCCTGATTAATAATGTTATTGTCCAAGAGCAGTTCTATAACAGTGAGGTAACAGTTAACAAATTCGGCATCCTCACAAGACCAAGAAGAACCCAAAAATACTATTACTTCTGCACTTAATTTTCAAAGGGAGAACTATACAAAAATGAGATAGATGGCTTAAAAAAAATGGAAATCCTATCCAAATTGCAAAGGGCAGCAAAACAGTAAAATCTTTGCAGGTTGCTGGAAGCTATCTCTAGGAACTATGTTGGAAGCACAGTGCTAATGCATACACACGAATAATCAAAAAAGCCAGTAGATGGAAAAAGGAAATCTGACTTGGTTAAGCAGGGTGAGGGAGGTTGTCTGAAGTAAAAAGGCATCTTTCAAGAAACAGAAGCTGCATTTAAATGTGGAAAATGGAATGTATGTGTCCTGAGTGGGTAAAGGTGGAAGAAGAAAACCAGATAGAAATGGCTTGGCAAAAACTTGCAAAAGAGACAAAAAAGAATAAAATACTGTCAAGTATATCAGGGACAGAAAGCCTGTTGGGCCAGTGTATAAAAAGAGTGTTCAGAGAAGATAAGGCAATAACAGATACCTCAGAAGATCTGTCTCATATTGAAGTATCAGTAGAGGAAATTGAAACAAATCCACAAATTAACAGTAACAAATAACTAAACTGGGTGAAAATGAAAGATAAATAAGAAATAAAATTTGGAATGCATTATAATCACAGTGATGGGCTTTGAGCTGATATGTAACACCTTAGGAATGAGTTTTTTGAATTACAGTGGTTAAATCTATGTAGACAGCAGCTTAGTACTCAGTAGCGGTCAGGAAAGCAAGCAACGTTAGATATGATGAAGAAAGGAATAGAGGACAAAAACGTAGTATTTTATCACAGCGGAAATACATAGTTCAATCTACATCTTGCATATTGCATATAGTTTGAGTCTCCAAGGAGAGATAGTAGAGCTAAAGATAGCAGAATATGCAGTGAAGGTCAAAGAAGGATCAAAGATGTTGAATAGCTTCCATGTGAGAAACACATAAATATGGAAGTCTTCATTAAGGAAAAGAGGTGACTGAGGGAGAGGAAGATTGGGCTCAATAGGAAATTACTGTTTACTGTCCCTCTCAAAACCAAAACGGGGGACACTGCACAAAACTAGCAGGAAGCTTGTCCAGAAAAAACAGAGACACACACGTCTTGAGTGTGTACTTAAGCTGTGGTACTCTCTGACAGATATCAAATGTTTATGTGGAGGTAAAAAAAAAAAAAAAAAAAAAAAACTGGACAAAGTTGTGGAGGAAAAATCCATTCAGGGCTGTTGAGTGCCATACCTTCATGTGTGGCTTAGGAAGTCCCTGAGCTGCAAATTATTGGAGGCGAGGAAGTGTCCCCTGTGTTATTGTCTCCTTCTCAAGCTCTTCTGTAGGCATCTTCTGTGAGGGACGAGAACATGACAGAACTGCAGGTGAAGAGGCAGAGAGAACATGGCAAGTTCATGGTGAAGAGGGAAAGAACATAGTGTGCATGGGAGGAAGATGCTACGTGGGTGCTTAAGCCTGTGGTACTTCTGTGCTTATCCAAAAGTTGAGGAGGGATAGCTTTGGAGGAAGGTCCCTAGGAATACAGAGTGCTGTTGAGGCTTGTGGATCAGGAGGAGAAGGGACTTAGCACTGTCCTTCCTTGAGGCTGGTCACTCTCCCCAACTTGTTGTTTCTAGTCCTTCTAATCTTTTATGGCACTAGCTCACATAATCTTCTCTCTGTCTACCCAGCAAGCTATCGCAGAAGGAGAGCAACTATCGTGGCTCTCTGAGAAGAAACTCATGCAGCAACGGCTGGAATCTCTGCAACGAGCAGTTGCAAGACTGGAACATGAGAAAACTGAGCTGAAGCAACTCAACACTGAGCTCAGAAGGACTCTTGAGCAGGTAAAACTGGCTCTCATTGCCTCTTCAAATCCTCATGATCCTCTGGAACACACACTTTCCCACACAGAGTGCTTGCAGTCCACTTCTTGTATTCTTCTGTCTCCTACTTCCCCCTATGCATGCTCATGTTCATATTTTCTTTTTCATTCCTGCACCCCACTGTCTGCACAGGTACATGTTCATTCAAGTATCCCCTCTCTTGCCCTAGTTTTCCCACATGCACACATTTGCCTCTTTCTGACACTCTTGTGTCAGGAACTGTTTTCTCCTGCTCTTTTCCTTCCATAGCCCCAACTTTCTCTGGTGAACTAATGGTCTCTGAACAGAAATCTCCTCCTTCGCAATGATATCCAGAGATCCCATTGCTCCTTGTTTGGTGGCAGGTTTCTGTGACCCTTTCTCCTATCCAACATGCAGGTGGAACGGGAAAGGAGGAGACTGAAGAGAGATTATACTGGTCAGTCGCTGCCGGATACATGCAGGTTTTCTCTCTCTGAGTCTGACCAGGACAAGATGCCTGCTTCTAGACAGGTCTGAACAGAATCTTACTTGGTGGGAGGTGGCTCTCACCACACAGAGAAACTATGGCAAAACCAAGTGGCAACAGACCCCCCCCCTAATATCAGATAATATAGACCATGGTCCTGACCAAACTGGAAACTAAAAAGAAACGGTTGCGTTTTCTTTGCAGGAGGAGGCTCATGCTCTCTGCAGACGATTAGCTGAGTTACAGAACCAGGTGAGGAGTAGGAAAGCTCTCATCAAAGTCTGCTGTAGCTGCACTGGTGGGCACAGTTTGGTGTAACATCGCAGCACAAGTTTTGTTTAAGTGGGCCTCATCTGTGAGGAAGGTGACAGAAATACCCGGTTAGCCACATCTGTTGTTCGTGGCCAAGCAATACCATTCATCTCGGTCTAGTCTCTGACTTGCCTAATGGTCGGGTGTGTCAAGTGCGGGGCGGGGGGTTGGAAGGAATTCAGAAAACTCTAACTCACCTGAATCTGGAGAATTGACTAAGAACGATCCCCTGGAGCCTCACTCATCCTGCTAGCTCTTCCAATTTTCCCTTTGCTCAGTTAAAAGAGGAACTAACATCATATGAGAGTTCCGAAGATCTGAGGCAGTGCCAGAGCTTATAGCCTTAAGGCAATTGTTAGTCCCATTTTGCTGTTCTGTGTTAATCATGGCCCCAGTATTCAACTGAGAGGCATAAGCACTGTAAGGGTATTTGTTTTATCAGTGTAGGAATGTATGTTTCAACTACTGAACCTTATTGCCTCCTATTACGATGGTACTGGCCATATCAGAAGGTCTCCAGACTTCTCTTCCGTATACTTCTATGGGTCAGGTACACCCTTGTCCCCCTGAGGATATGAATGTTCACAGATGCTAAGGGTAAAATGCATATAATACTTAGGTGGGTAAAGTACGAGATGATGCTTAGCTCTTGAACAGCGAGAATACTTGCTGAAGCCAGCAAGTTATCAATTACGGACGTTTTTACCAGGAATCCTAGGTGTGTGAAGTTATGTTGCTACAGGTAGCTAAATGAACCTCCTTCCCCTTGTGATTCTTGTGTTTTTGCCTGCCCTGTGGACCTACTTCATCAGGGAAATGAAGGTGATCTGATCAGAGAGTTGTCCTCAGTTGGCTAGTTAGGGCACTCCTCTGGCTCTGAGAAACGGGAACTGAAACACGATCCCCCACTTCTTGGGAGATTTTCTAAGCAGCAGATAGTTACTTCTCCCACTCATTTCTCTGAGTTACCTACCAAAGTGTGGGAGGGCTTTTCAGGCTTCAAAGGACAATTTCACAAAGGTGCCCTTGTTATTTCAGAGAGAATTTCAGATTTGTCCCTCTCTTCAGTGGAAAGCTTCCCGAGCTGATGTATGTTGTTTGTTGTGAAGTCTTGTTAATGTCTTACTTCCCTTGTGCACTACTGGCTTCTAATTCAGCACTGGAATTTCCAGTGAAATTTCCCTTCTGGAGCTGGCTACCTAAGTTCCAGGTGCTGCCATGCTAAATCCTTTTTTAGATCATCTGGTCCTAGATGCTTAGCAAATTAGAGTCCCACTTTTTTTTTTCTGTTTTGGCTTTATTTTGACAGAGCTTTGCATTGCAATTCAAAGGTAACAGGTTCCATAAGCCATAAAAATCATGTGGGAATTGTTTCTATTATTGAGTTCATCTGCCAGGAAAGAATGTTTTCATGTTCTGAGCTTGAAGTTGGTGATTGCCTTTCCATATGGAACACAGCCATTGGCAAAGGACATAGAAGGTATCGTCCCGTTGAAAACAGAGTAAAACCTCTGACTCGAGCAGTTTTCCCCAGAACAGCCAAGTATGGAGTGCTGCTGCCCAGTACTGGCATCTGCTCCAAAGCAGGCAGAGGGCATATGCCAGGAGCTGCCGTGGCTGCTCTGCACTACAAACCTAGACAGGAGGTAAGAGTAGCCTGGATCTCTCTCCCGTCAAAAAGCTCAGAGGACACAACTCCATTCATCAGCAGATAAAGAATTGGAGGATTTTCAAGGCCCATGCAGTCCCTTACAGCTCATCTTATCCCTGACCTTGTTCATCAAATTATGCTTTGCTGATGCTGTAAAATGCTGTAAAGTTAAGAAAAATGATTTTGCTCATTTTGCATGTGTTAGCTGTAAAGTATTAGCTATATCATAACAGAAGAGTTCTTTGGTACCTGGCCCCTGAACAACCTGTCCTTTTTTATAGTGTTTGAGTGACTGGTAGTGCTGCTCAGGAAAAAGGATGTAGAACTGCAGTGTCAGTAGCACAAATCTCTCTTTTTGGAAAAAGAGTTGGGTTACTAAATCCTGGAGGAAGATATCTCTTGCTTTAATATACAAGTAATATCTCAGTGTTGTGTATGGGTGTGGTACACCAGAAAGAAACCTGAACTGACGATAATGTAAGTTCAATTCAATGTGACTTTGGGAACTTGCCACTTCCCACTCAGTAAGGACAAGTGGTGTCCTGACAAGGTGTTTGTCAGGGCTAGAGTTAGAGGACGCTTTTTCCTTGACAGCTGGTACCTTGGAACTAAAGATGATGGTAACAAGGTGGACTTGTCTGAGCTCAGCCTTTTGCCTCTTTCAGGTGTCCCTTTTGCAGAGGCAGTTGGCACAAGAACGAAAATATAAGCAAGACTATATTGAGTGCTGTGCAAAGACCAGCCAGGAACTGTTAGACCTTCACCAAGAGCTGTCCTACTCCTTAGCAGCTGTGGTCAGGGAGCCCAAAGCTGCTGTTCTGGAGGCAGAGACCCAGAAGCTGGATCAGTCTCTGAATCATAACTTGGCACTAATACCTGTGGACCCTCAGTCTCCCGAGAGACAGCCACTGCATTCAACAGCCAGAGCAGCCAGGTGTGATGATCTGAAGTAACCAGGCAGTGTACAGCAAAGGGCCTCGCAGGAAAAAAGTCAGAGACCTGCTGTAGCAAGTGGACCGTGGCAAGGGCATTTGATCAAAACATGAGTCCTCAGGTAAGACAGAAGTTCAGAGCACAGTGTCCACTATAAGAGTTACCCAGCAGGAGCAGTGATGGGACAGACTGGGGCTGGCTTGTGTGCATGGGGTCAGTCAGAGGCCTGGAAAAGGGGGATAAACCTGATGAACTGGTAAAATTGTCTTCCTTTTCTGACACACTCCATCACAGCGTGTCTAGTCAGCGTCTAGGTGGCCCTCCAACAGTTAGGTTTTTCCTGTCAACTTATGTACTGTTTACAAAGACTTTTTATCTGGTTTTATTTTTTCAGTAAAGTTATTTCTCCAAACCAGTGTCCATTCCTTGACTTCTTTTTTTCCCAGCAGGCTCTTTAAGGTTCAGTGCTTGGATCACTTTTTTCCTGTACTAAACTTAGTGATGAGCTCATCAGTGCTGTGGGGACAACAGAAGAATGGAGATATTTCATCAATAGTTTCTTCTTTTCTTGTATGGAAGCAGCTGCCCTGCCTTAGACTTCCTTTCTCGTGCGCCTCCCCGAACGGTGCCGCTTCCTGCCGTAGGGATTAGGGGTGCACTTGATCTGTTTGCAGTTGGAGGTTTCATAGTGACAGTGACAAGTGGGGAGTTTTGGGGGTTCTTTGTTTTCAGACAAAGGTTAAATTTTGCAGAACTCTTACTCCTGTAGGAAAAAGCAAGTGGTAGTTTCTCACTTCTCCCAATAAGCCATTAGAAGGTGTTGCATGACAACCTCCTGAGTTCACAGCCATTTTCCATGATGAGATAGGGAAGGGAGGTGTTATAAAAATGAAATGGGGGGAGAATACAAGCCACAGCTCAAGCTAGAAAGAGAATCACAGAATTGTTTAGGTAGGAAGGGACCTCTGGAGATCATCTAGTCCAACCTCCCTGCTCAAGCAGGGTCCTCTAGAGCATATTGCCCAGGATCACATCCAGACGGGTTTTGAATATCTCCAGCGAAGGAGACTCCACTACCTCTCTGGGCAACCTGTTCCAGTGCTCAGTCACCCTCACAGTCAAGAAGTTTTTTCCTCAGGTTCAGATGGAACTTCCTGGGGTTCAGTTTGTGCCCGCTGCCTCTTGTCCTGTTGCTGGGCACCACGGAGAAGAGGCTGGCCTCATCCTCTTGACACTCCCCCTTCAAATACTTGTGCACACTGATGAGATCGCCTCTCAGTCTTCTCTTCTCCAGATTGAACAGGCCCAGCTCTTGCAGCCTTTCTTCCTAGGAGAGGTGCTCCAGCCCTCTAATCGTCTTGGTAGCCCTCCGCTGGACTCCCTCCAGCAGTGCCATGTCTCTCTTGTCCTGGGGAGCCCAGAACTGGACACAGCACTCCAGGAGAGGCCTCCCCAGGGCTGAGGAGAGGGGCAGGATCACCTCCCTCGACCTGCTGGCAGCACTCTGCCTAATGCACCCCAGGATACCACTGGCCTTCTTGGCCACAAGGGCAGATACTGGAGGTGTAGTAGGAGTTTTTAGAATCTCCTTCAGTACAAAATAGGCCTGGTACCCGCTGGAGATAAGTTTGCCGACAGCTTGAGGGAAGGAACGCAGCGCTGCGCAACCTCGCGTTGGTAACAAACTCCAGGCCTTTAAAAGAGGGAGGCAATATACGGTGGGGGGAGGAGATGGCAAACTGAGTGAAAGTTGATCCTTCCAGGTTCATTTATATATTTAAACATTTGCTTTTAGCGGACCTTAGGACAGCACTAAGTACTTAGTATAGCTTCATTCCTGCGCGCGGCAGGGACGACCGGAACGGAA